TTTCCATCTCTAGCTCTAATAACAGCCTACATTAGTCGAGGCATACTCTCGATTAAACCCCTAATGTACTCTTACGGAAGATATTCCCACTCTTGCACGATGGCATTCTAGATGGCATTAAAGTCTCCAAGAACCAATCTGCGCTCCTTTATCCTCAGTTTCACATAGTCCCATACATGTTCAGTGTGGTTCATGTCGGGAGTCCTGGCTGGTCGTGGTAGAAGCAGAATTTCAACCTCTTCTAAATATCGTTGCACAATGTGAGCTGTATGAGGCCGCGCATTATCGTGCATATATGTAAAATTTAGCCTTATGTAGGCTCCACAGGGCATAACATGAGGTTCCAAAACATCAGTAATATACCGTGTAGCTGTTAAACGAGCTCCTGGTAGCGCCACCAATTCAGTATGTCCGGTGTAGGAAATGCCACCCCAAAACATTATAGAGCTTCCTCCAAAATTCACTTGTAGAAGAATATTGGTAGGCAAATATCGCTTGCCAGGTCGTCTGTACATCGGCATACGACGATCTGAGGAATACAGCCAAAAACGAGATTCGTCTGCAAACAGTATATTGCTTCAATCCTCGACATTCCAAAGCTGATGATTTAGCGCAAAGTTTAAGCGCGCTACCTTGTGTGCCCTGGTGAGCAAGGGTGCTTTGGGAGGTACTCTTGGACGCATACCAACTTCTCGCAAACGATTTCGTATCGTTTGAGTACCCAGCACCACATCGCGAGCAGTTAAAATCTCTTTTTGGAGCATTTTTGCTGTGCAGTGTCGCGACCTGAGTACTGTTAAGCGCAAAAATCGGTCATCTCGTTGTGATGTTTTCCGTTTACGACCTTGTCCTAGTCTTCTATTCATGCTTCCAGTACTTTGATAATTTTGCATTAGTTTAGAAATGGTCGAACGATCAACGCCCAGCAGATTGACCACAGCGTTGGGTCTAACCATCTTCAACCAAAGCTACAGCCCGGATGGCCACTTCTTCGATAAATTACGCGTAATGCGATCAGGAACATTCATTATAAGCGAAAATGACGTTTTCACTTCAAACATTTCACAACCATGTGATTTAGAATTGGATATAAGGGTACCATGATAAGATACTTTCTTTCTTTTAATAGATCCACCAGTTACAAATGACAAGGAACTTTTTTTTTGCGTAGATGAAACAAAATTCCTTCTAACTAATCATAAGGCATGTTTTTCAGTATCTTTTTGTAATTTTTTCAGTTGTTATTAACAAATTTGAAATGTTGCGTTAATTTTTTTGAGGTGTGTATTTATAATCAAAATTTATTCGTTTGTCCCCTCCCAAAAAACTGATGACTCATCCCAATTTTTCCGAATAAATTCTACTTTAAATTTGCAAAATATTATGACTCTATGCTTGTGGCTTACCAATGGATGCATAGTTTTTAGAATTACTTATACAGGAGCACTCAAAAAAATGAATGAGTGATGCAATTTATTGTATTGATTAAGTTAAGAACCACTGACTCCATTTTCCTGAAAATTTGGCAATACAGTATTGCTGTTGTTAGTATTACACTGCATCTGTGCAAACTGATATACAGTCCTTGCATAAATGTTGACGTTATCACAAAATTTTGTATTAGAAAAATTCACTTGAAACAAACGCGTATCACGTTTCTTTATGTTTACTTTAATATTACATACTCGTACATACTTTTATTTTAACTTCTAAGAGTTATCATAAAAAAATTAAATTGGCAAAATCAAATGATTTTAGAAAAAGTGGACTTGTATTCAAAGGCGAGGGAAGTTATGTCAAAATATCTTTCGACCAATTTTTTATTATTCTACTGGGACTCCGAAAACCCTCGTACATAAAGTACTGAAGGTTTAATACGCCATTTTCCGGACACGCGGTATATACATATATACATATATAGTTTTATTTTGATAATGATCTGTCTAGGTTCTTTTCTGAAGAGAATATTTTTATTAGTTATTTATTATACCAGTGTGTTAGGTATGTACCACATAAATCACGAGAAAAAGGTTAGTCACCTAGTCATAATATATAAAATTCGCGAAGAAGTTGCCATAGAATCTTCGAAGATTGTTTCTGCAAAATCCAAAACAGTGTACGACAAAGAATTTAATGAATTCATTGCATGCTGCAGAGAGAAAAAAGTGAACATAAATGACCTGGAAGAGGACGTTTTGTTAGAGTTTTTTAATGTTTCACAAAGAATCGCTCCTTCAACGTGTACCAAGTATTCAATGCTTAAATTTACACTGAAGCAATATAAAAGGATGGCTATATCATAGTATGGCATATTTTAAAAATATATCAAAGGGTTATAAACCCAAGTAATCTAAAATTCTAGAGAGGGAACAAGAAATTTTTTTGAAAAACGCACCTATCAAGGAATATTTGATGGCCAAGCAGTGGCGGCTCCTCAGAGGAGGCAGGGGAGGCTGAGCCTCCTCTATTTTTTGGAGCTGAGCTTCCTCTATTTTTTTTCGATGAAAGAATTTATATTTTTGTAGACATTTGTTATTTTTCAGAATATTTTCTTGGATTTCATTTACTTTCATCATATATCAGGTTAAAATGTCGGAAAAATTTATATTTGCGCCCTCACAATCATAATTCACATTCACACCACTCCGCGTTTGGTTTCAGCGGCAGAGGCTTGCTAGCCGCTAGCCTCCGAACGACGATGCATCTGAATAATGAGACCGTGACCTTGACGCATCGCCAGTGTGTATTGCATTGGCTAAAACGTTCATCGGACTGCCGCCCAAGCCGCTAGCCTCCGGCTAGTTCATCTCTTTTCAGATCAAGTCGTACAGATAACTTTATCTCTTTCTTATTAGTTGGAGCAATCGGGTGTAAGTAGGAAAAACATTGAGGTGGTTTCGCGAGCTCCCTGTTTAGTGGTGGTGCTGTTTAGGCTATACCTAGGTAAGGGTATAAAAGGGAATACCAACACCATCACTCCCATTAATGGTATTGACAGTTACAATTAGAAACAAAACAGAGCATTTCATGAAAACAATTATAATAAAACTAAATAGTTAACTGCTTCGGTTTTAAGAAACAAATTATACTGCTGGAATTGTGTATTATTTATAAGTGATAAACTGATAAATCTTCCGCTTGAGGTAAAACAGGCTATAATAATTTACAAAATTTGTCACAAGCTATAGAAAGGTATGAAAAATTACAGGAACACATATTTTCTTCTATTAAATTAGAAATGCTTGGTAAGCAAAACATTGCCAATAATTTAGATTCGGCTCATAAAAGGGAGAACTATTACGAGAAAGTTGGTGAAAATTGGGCAATTTTGAAAAGACTAATCGATGCAATATAATTTATCTGTCAACGCAAGAGTGTTCTTTTCGTGGGCATGACGAAAAAAATTATTCAGATAATAAAAGATATAAAAAGTAGTGCTTTTCAAATTTGAGCCTCCTCTGAAGAAAACTTCACGAGCCGCCACTGTAAGGCTAAGGTAGGTATGATGTTTCAGCGTTTAATATTTGAATAATAATTATTTATCATTTTCTTAAGTGGCATTAAATATGCGAATTTCTGGAACTTGTCGTTGTGACGAGCTTCTTAAATTAACTATTGACAATGTACAAGACACTGGGACGTACTTTTATGTTTGTATCCCAGATACGAAAATCTACACTCCTCGAAGATTTACTATTATTGCAGAAAGGTATGCCGTGAATCCCTTGGATTTAATAAAAAAAATATTTGTCTTGGAGGCCGGAATATACACCCGATTGTAGATTTTTTGTGAATTATCAGTTTGAAAAAAGCACGAATCAGCCTGTTGGAATAAATATCTCGTCCAATTGTTAGATTCTTGCAATTGCCAGAGGCATACTCTTATACCGGTCACTGTACGAGACGTTCTTCTGCTACGCTTTTGGCTAATGCTGGCGGCGACATGATAAAAGTGAAACAACTGGGACGTCGACTTTCCTCTAAAATTATCCTCGCGAGGAGAATCCAAGGATCCACCTCTACTTCAACAAAACAAACAAGGGAACCATCCGAATATGTGTCGTCTGTGCAGTCTGGAAGTGAGTCTAAGTTTGTTGGTATTACTTCAACTTCACATATGCCCCCACTGTTATCAATTTATTTAAAAAAAGAATCACAGAATAAATGTCTAACATTCACTTTTAGTGTTAATATTAATCTTAAATAAGAATTAATAAATGATGATTTGCTCTTAAACTGTTTCTTCAATAAAGCAGTTACTTAGGTTATTCTCTATGGTTTGACATAATAGTGAGTTAGAGTTTATAACCCATTAGTGAGTTGTACACCACTTTACTTATTAGAAATCACCATAGTTGTCTCGCTTTTATATGTATGTGTTAGATAATAGTAATTTGTGTATCAAGGTCGTGAAGGAGATAATTTTTGGCCGATCTGAAGTTTCTTGGCCGAGGCATAGCCGAGACTCAACATTTCAGAAGAGGACAAAGAAGATTCTTCACGGCTGAGTTGCACATAATGTTTTTTGGGGGACGATTATTTTTATTTTGTATCGTCTGGCGTGACCACGGTGGTACGTGAAGTATTGACAGATGAGTACGTGAAGTGATGACAGAAGAGTACGTGAAGTAAATGCAGCCGTGATGTACATTTTGACAATTAATAACAAAATGTGACGTTTTACGTCCATCAATAGAGAAGTACATAGAACCATCTATTTCGTGTTAGTCGCCCAAAAAATGAATTAATATGCACTTTATAGTGCTTTGATTTTTGATTCTTTCTTAACATACAATTATTAAACTTCTCGCCTAAACTTCCTGTAGACGACTCAGTTCTATAGTTGAGTCTATTTATATCGTAGACAAGGGAATTGTTAGTTGCGCAGATATATTATTCCTATGGTTCATATGAAATACAAATAAGTACACATAAGGATCTTTTTGATTCAATGTTTAATTTTTGAAAAATAAACGCAGATTAACATCTAAAAAGCACACTGATGTTAAATAACTATTGAACCGCTTGAATTTCTATAACTAATGACTGCCTTCTTTGTTGCGTTGGCTATCAAGGGAGCATATTTTCTCTGGTTCTATGCAGAATGATATTATATTAAATAAGTATAAAAAATTACACTAGAAAATTCTAACGTTTTATTAATGCCAAACTGATGACTTCGTCTTTGTTGAAGTTATTTCTGTAATTCTGTTTCAATTTTTTGATGTATTTTATCTTCGTCAAGTTGTACCTAAAAAAAAAGGAACAAACTATGACATATTTTTAACATTTTTGAGCTTACATTTTCTTTTATAACTAGAAATTTGTTGTTATTTTCTGTTTTTCCTAATTTTTCTAAATATTTTTCTCTCATATAGAGCACCGTATCGATATGAGTTTTGTGTTTTGTTGCTAATTCTAAAGCTCTAAAATGTTTTTATAATTTAATGTGTTACAGGTTATTTACAAACTTCCATTTACCGGGACCAGTTGTGAAGTTTAATATTATTATAAATAGCTTGGAAAATCATTCCATTATGTAGCAAGATGGACTCTGCATCTTGTAATGCACCTGCTAGAAGTGCTATTGCTGCTTTTTGTTGTGATTTGTTTGACAATGTCTAAAATTACAAAAATTAGTTTAATCTAGAGAATAACATTTTAAACAACTATTACTTTCACAGATTGGATGTAGAACACTTTATCATAGTGATTTATATTAGCAAACGCCTCTTCGGCAATGTCTATTACATCAGCGTTACTTTGAATTGATAATACAGCTAAGCATGCCCAAAGTATTTGTTCTTTAATAGATCTGCATAAATTCAAAGCATCGTTCCACTTATTTTCTTGAATGTGTCTGAAATAAAGAAAAATATTGTGTTAAGAAGTTTGTTTTTATTTTTGTGGAAACTGCAGTTTATGGGCTGTAGAATTTGTAATTAATATTAGGTACATATAAAAACTTGACTAGGTTAAGTGAAGCAAGTTATATGTTAAATTTTCAAGACGTGGTTGCGAAAAGTGTTTCTGTTTAAACGTATAGTACAAAAGAGTAATAACCGGTGGAGGATTGAAGCGAATGGAGAAATTGGAACACTGATTAAAGATCCATCAGCTCTGCGAACTGAGACAAAGTTACCAATAAAACTATTAATTCTTGGGTTACGTCCTAGTTCTGGGGATCCATATTGCATTGAACAGAGTTTTAGTAATGATGAATTAAAAGCGGCAGTTGGACAGTACCAAACCACTAGTTGTGTATCTTGGATAGTCGCTATAAGATTTGCTTCAGTATTCCATTGAAAAGACTCCGTTTTTCTCCCTGAAAAGAATGAGCATATATTAATTAAGTGTAAACGAGTAGTAAAATTAAATTTTCGTCAAAAAAAACTTCGTTCTAGTAATTTGTCGGTATACAGGGTGTCCCAGAATTCGCGCCATTCCCGTGAATGACATGTTCCCTGTCCCGAACTGTGCCGTAATTCGCAAAAAGAATTGTCCAGGCTTTAACCGTGTGAGAACTGGAAGGCGATTAAGTTGACCAATAGAGAGGCTGCTTTTATATCCGAACGTTTCTGTGTTCAAAGTTACCTATGCCAAGGACAAAAAATCCGGTAATACTAAAGTTGAATGAATTTTTACCGAATCCCTCTCCGTCAACAAAAGGAAACAGAAGTGTGGTTATAAATTTAATCATTTTGACAATTGTTTGTCATAAACTGTCACGAAGTTCATCACTGACCTGAACAGACGCTTCTGCGCCAAAGATGACTGATTAATGTACACAGAGACGTCAAGGTTTATTTTAAGGCAAGTAGCATGGGACAGAAGTTATTTCTGCTGCCATTCTAGTTAAATTGTGTTTAACTGGGCTGTACATGCCATAAAAGAAGCTGTTTCATTTCATCGTAGGCAAATAATACATTTATTACTATTCTACATTGTGTAGATATCGAAGAGCAGGTATTAGAAGTCATTTTCTTAGAGCCCCGTGAATAATGTTCCAATGTTCCAGACATAATTGATTTACTTTGTGTTAAAGTATTTTTATCATCTAGATTCATATACGTCATTGTGCTATATATTCCACCAGGTATAAATGTTGAAGAGTATGATGCTCTTGTTGACTCTATTATGTCTCTTGAGTGTTTATACAACAACAGAATTTTAATTCTAGGTGATTTTAATATCCCTGAAATAGGAACATCAAAGGCATCACATGCGGTACAGATTCTAGAAAAACTCTTTACCTTAGAACAATCTAATCATATTGTTAATATAAATGGCAGAATTCTAGATCTTATTTTTCATAATTTTACGCGTTGTATTGTCACTCGTGCTAATGATCCCGTATTACAGGAAGATAATCATCACCCACCTCTGTTAATTGACTTAAGTATAAAACATAACACTCATACTCTAACCTATAGATCGAAAGGTGGCTTTAATTTTAAGAAGGCGAATTTTAGTCAACTCTATGATGAAATATTTAGGTATGATTGGTCAATGATTCATAATTCTAGTGATCCTTCTGATGCTTTGAATTTATTTTATGAACATCTTAATATGTTATTTGAGAAATCAGTGCCCAAGAAAAAATCCATAAAAACATCTTATCCTATCTGGTTTACATTGGGGATAATAAAAAATATAAAATTAAAACACAGAGAATGGAAAAAATATAAGCGTACTAAAAATATTGTCCACTATAATAATATGAGTTCTCTTAGGAAAACTATTAAACGAGATGCTGCTAAAGCATATAACGAATATGTTGAGTCTATGGAAGCAAGCATAAAAACAAATCCAAATAAATTCTGGGCTTTTGTTAACTCCAAAAGGAAATTTTCTGATCTACCACATTGTTTCACCTATAATAATGAAGAACACACCGATCCGCAAAACATTGCAGATTTATTTGCATCATTCTTTGCATCAACGTATAAAGATCATAATGATATAACCGAGGATACAACTAACTACAATAATCTCCAACATGAAGTTCTACATAACTCTTGTCTAAATATTAATAAAATAGAAGAAAATGATGTACTCAAGGCAATTAAGCGATTAAAAACATCCATGACAGCTGGACCAGACTTTGTACCTGCATTTATGATTAAGGATTGTGCATATATTTTTGCCAAACCATTGTGTAAGATTTTCAATTTAATAATAAACACATGTAGATATCCAGATATATTTAAATTGACACGTATATGCCCCGTTTTCAAAAAAGGTGACAAATGTTTGGTTGAGAACTATAGACCAATCTCTATAATGTGTAATTTTGCCAAAATATTTGAATTTATCATATCAGACTTAATAGCGTTCCATATGAACAAAATTATATCCGAACATCAGCATGGATTCATTTATAAAAGATCTACAGTCACAAACCTTTTATCTAAAACTCAATATATATCCGAATGCCTTGATAGAGGTAATCAGGTGGACGTTATATATCTGGATTTCTCCAAAGCGTTTGATAGTATTAATCACACATTGCTCCTTGATAAACTTGAATGTTTTGGATTCTCAGACTCTTTTATTCTTTTACTAAATTCTTATTTATCTAATAGGTCTACATATGTGAATTATAGGGGTTTTACTTCTTACACATTTACCCAATCATCTGGTGTACCACAAGGGTCAGTTCTTGGACCTCTCCTCTTTGTTTTATATATAAATGACATCACGGAAACACTTCATACTAAACATCTGTTATATGCTGATGACCTTAAGATTTACCATGAAATAAAAAATACATCTGATTGTTCAATGTTACAGCAGGACTTACAAAATATATTAAATTGGAGTAGGTACCCTAAATCATTTGAATATTAATAAAACTAAGTGTTATGTTATGTCATTTACTAGAAATGAATACAAAGTAAATTATCATTATAGCATAGATGATGTTATCTTGAATAGACCTAATGTCGTCAATGATCTTGGGGTAACATTTGACGCTAAATTATCGTTTTCATGTCATATAAAAAAAATTTCAGATGATGCCTATAAGTGTCTAGGTTTCGTTATTCGTAACTCCAAATCATTTAATGACACCTCCACAATCATGACACTCTATATCGCCTTTGTTCGCAGTAAAATTGAATATGCATCTACAATTTGGTCTCCATGCTATAAAATATATTGTTCCGATCTAGAAAAGATTCAAAGACGCTTTTTGAAGTTTTGTGCATTCTTTGTAGATGGTTTTTATCCTATTCGTAACTTTCCACAGGACCTGCTACTATCTCGTTTCGCTTTACAAAGTCTTCTTATCAGAAGATCCATGCAAGCATCGGTAATTTTATTTAAAATAATACAAAATATAATTGAATGTAAATATATTTTCAATCAAATTTCTTTACATACACCTAGAATCAACTGCCGGTATCATCATATTTTTCAGCCACTTCGTGCTAGAACTAATATGCTTATGTTTTCGCCTCTAAATCAGATGATACTCAGCTACTGCAGCGTTGAGAAAGATGTTGATATTTTTAACTGCAAGCTGAATCAATTAAAAAGATGTTTTCATACATGACAGTACAAAGAGGTTAAACACCAACACTGGTACCTAATAGAAAATTATTCATGGTTTCATTACATTTTAAGAGTATACATAATAGTACTTATTGTATTTTATAATTATTATCTGAGCTCACCTAACTGGGACTTGCAGTAGTATAGCTGCAATTGTGCTTAAACTGATGAAATCAATATACTAACATGTTTTAACTTGGCTTGTAATTGGGTTTTAAAAAACCTGTTAGCCAATGTACAATAATAATAATAATAATAATAATAATAATCAGCCTCAGACCATTAGAAGACGAGAAGAACCAAAAAAGCGTAAAAAGTGGTCTCTAGACATGAATTTACATATTATGCGCTTATATTATAAAATTACAAACAATGAAACTGATGTAAGTAATTATCGTACAGCTCTACACGAAGCCTTCAGCCGTGAGTACCCAAATTTTCCAGTTACCATTCAAAATTTAGCAGATCAACGTAGAGCTATTGTTAAAAATAACTACATACCTCAACTTACTCTAGAACAATTAAAAAATGAAGTTTCCAAAACCATTAATCCACTTCCTGAAGATATCAACAAGACACCACCAAATACATTACTAACTGACACATCTGTCACCAATTTGTCAAAAACAACATCTCAAAATAAGATACCAATTATACCACAAAATAGTAACAGTAGTCTATCAAATACACCAGAGACACCGACTGACACATTTACTAAAGATTTATTAAACAAAACACCTCAAAATAAGATCGCAAGCATAACACAAATTACAAACACAATATCAAACAGATCCCAAACATTAACTGACAAATCATTTAACAATTTATCAAGAACAATCCAAAACGAAATTAACATCACAGATAATCTACAAAACACATACTACAACAACGAAGACACATTAATCAAAACTGTAAACAACAATTTTAAATTTCACATTAATTTCCAAAATGAAATTGAAGACAAATTTAAATTAACTTTCGAAACATGTTCCAAATTAAAACCAAATGATAGACATTCACTTCCCCGCCAGTATTATTCTAAAAAGTTTCTAGCAATTGTAGAAATAATGAACTCCTTCATTTTACCAAAATATCTCACAAACTCGATCTCTTTTGAAAAACTTCATACAATTATCTACTGTGCAGCTTTAACTTGTATTCAAATTAACACATGTAAAGATAACATAATAAATACAAACACCAATCGTATACCTTCGACCCCTCATTGGGAAACACGGTTAAATTATAAAATTAATAACATTAGAAAACAACTAGGTCAAATAACACAGTACCTTAGAGGAGTTAAAACACCACATATCATGACATGTATGCATTCGATACTGACCAACAATAATTTTCATCAAACTGATTACAATGAGTACAACACAACATTATCCCAAATTAAAGATACCCTATTACAAAAACTTTCCTTATATAGCAAACGACTTAAAAGATACAAACAATCACATCTCAGAAAAATTCATAACACTAAATTTTTAAACAACGAAAAACTATTCTATCAACATTTAACTAATTCAAACAAAACTCAATTATCCGGTGAACTTCCAAGTTCACAGGATGTAACAACATTTTGGTCAAAACTTTGGTCTGAAGAATTTGAATTTAACCAATCTGCCAAATGGATTCCTCATATATCCCATAAACTATCCACAGTTACACCAATGAATGATCATCAGATAACACTTGCCGAATTAATAAATACCATCAATAAGACACACAACTGGAAATCACCAGGACCAGACAAAATCC